TCCCCTACGATCGTTTGACAGGCTTGAATGCCAAAGATCGTGGTGCGCATTGAAGTCACCAACTACCATACGGTTTTCAGGATGATATCCTGCCGGGCCGGTGTGGTGTAGTGGTAAGCGTCGGCCGCTGTGATGTAGTGGTAAGCGTCGGCCGCTGTGGTGTAGTGGTAAGCAGTGCGCGCTTCCACTCCGCAACGCCTGGGTTCAATCCCTGGCCAAAGCAACATCGCAAAAAATATAGAAAAAAGGTCCCTCGGCAGGCAATGGCAAACCTCCGAGTCTATTTCTGCCATGAAAAACAGCTTCTCATAAATATACAATCGCCGTTCGGAGTCGGCGTAAAACTGTAGGTCCCTCCGCTTTGTGTGACAATATCAAGGCTTACAGCACAAATCGGAGGAGAAGCTCGGCCAAACACTAACATATGTGTAAGCGCCAATCTATTATTTATTATTATTATCCTGCCGGGCAGCAGGTGGCAGGAGGTATATACGTTAAATATTTCGAGCTCGACATCGCCTGACCGGATAGCAATACCCTGACATTCTCGGATGGTATCCCTGCGGTCGATGTCTGCTTCGATAAGACAATACTGCAACGCGTGGTGCGTAATGAGCGCTAGGCCACCACCATTATCTCGTTCGCGATCTCGACGGTGCACTTTGTATCCGGCGCAATTCAACAATGTTGAATTGCCGTACAGATTCGTCCCTTGGACCGCAGCTATTAATATTCCGTGCCGACCCGTGAAGATTGTTATCTCCTCGATCTTGCTCTGAAGTCCGTTAGAGTTGAATTTTAAAATCTTCGTGTGCCTAGGGAGACATATTGGAATGTGAGGTGTTTGTGACGTGTGTTGCCGAGCCGCCACATGTTGTGCTTACTGCTGCTGAGGATGTTGTCCTGTGTGTAAGTGGGCGGCGTTGCAGTTGGGGATTGCGACCAAGCAGCACAGCATGGGCCCTCATAGCCCCTCGTCCAATCTTGGTGGCGCGCAGTCTTGAGCATGCCCCAAATTGACCAGTGTCACGTGTTGCACTTGACTGATATCACATTACGGAATATCTTGGACTGACACATCGTGCAGATTGTCGGAGGAACTAGGAGTTGTTGGCCGTGGCGTGTGGCTGGTGGTGCAGTTGTATCGGTTGTGTGGTCTGTTGTGTCAGTGGTATTGTCTATTGTATTGTTTGTGTTGATTGTTTTTGTATTGTTGCGTTGTGCCGTGAAGGCAGCTCAATTGGCGCAGCAAGGGGACACGTACGCGGTGGCCCATTGCCTATGAGTCGTGAAGCCTGAGCAAACTTCAAGATCGCTCCGCCCATTGCACGTGGTGCATCTGACGGAGGTGGAGTTGTGATGTAATCGTCTCTGGCACACGCAGAAGGTATATGTTTCTGGTCCAGGGTTTAACTCAATGCCAGCCCTGAGCAGAAGTATGCGAAGAAGATGTAGCCGGTTTTAGATCGCCGAAACAACAGCCCTTGGTCGAGTAAAACCCGAGTCATTCCGGTACGGAGAATCGGCTGTCGGGAATGCATTTTTTCTCATTAAAACGCATAGTGAAAATTCGGCATTATTGTTTATTATACATGAGTGTATAAAGTTTTTATTTAGTAAAATTTTGTCGTATGCGATATTTGTCAACAATTTGACAACCACTTTGTATGAAATACGGAAAAGTGTCAACACTGTTTACTAAACTAACGATACTTTTTCTTCAATCTCTCGGAAATCCAAGGAGATATCCAAAAATGGATAACGTTAATTACCGAAAAAAAAAATTGTCAATATCTCGGAAACTAAAGCGGATATCCAAAAACTGATAACACCAACCGAACGATCTTACGACAATCTTTTACCCCGCGACGATATATAATTAATTTTTTTATTTGTTCTTTTCTACACAATTTCGCGTTTTCATAACCTTTTTCGTCGTTGAACCCAGTTACTTGCACTTTCGGTTTACATTCTCATGGAAACACCGATGTGTATGCACATCCTTTATACACAAATGCGCCACACAATAATTTATTAATATTACTAGGTATACATGTATTTATATAAATACATTCATATCGTTAGCTTAGAGGAGCTAACTAATTTTCTTCCAAAATTCAGCTTTGTACAAAGGTCGGTAGATTACTCACTAAAGGCCTAATATAATTTAAAAACAACTACTACATCAATAATTTAGATGAAACTAAACTATTTATTAAAACCCAGGATTTTGAAGAAATTCTTAATTTACAAACTGTAGGTTTTTCGATTTTAATAAGTATCAACGCCTAATTTTAATTTTTTCAAACAAACATACATACATGATACAATTACCAATTGTAAACGGTCATCAAAATACGGGTATACCTATGTAGACTTCTCGTAAGGTTGTTAGCTCAGTATATCCAGTAAACAAACTTAGCTATTTTTTTCTCGCCAAGTTTGGTCCCCATAAAGGACTAGTGTTGCAAGCAACGTTTTTTCGGCAATTAGGGTGTTGTGCAGCTATTTAATGTGGTGAAAATTATTTAAGCACTGGGGAGATTTATTCACATGGAATTGGAGATTGGGCTAATAGATTTATTTTAAATAAATTGTGAATCTGCGAAAATATCTTTTCAGCAGATGAATATACTTATTAACNAGTGTTAAATGCGGCTTTCTTGTTTTATTAACTGATCTTGCTTATGTTAGAGATCACAAGAAATGAATGCGTTTCCATGTATGTATGTATGAATGTACAAATGAATGCATGTATGCATGATAAAAACATAGCAAGGTATAACCGTTCTCTCAATTTGTCGGCCATGATTTTTTTTTGAAGTTTGCCAACATTTTAAAATCATATAAAAGTGAAAATAAAAAATTGAAGTTCTTCGAAATTGTTGTTGCTTGAGATAGAAAATGAAAATGTGTGTGTGAGTTTGTGAGTAAATTTAAAAATTAAATTGTTTGGAAACGTCAAGAATCTTAAAAGTGACTCTCAGCGGTTCTACCTTACTATATTTGTATCATGGATGTATGTACATAAATACATTTATTTTTAACCGACTTCAAAAAATGAGGTTATCAATTCTGCGGAATATTTTTTTTAATGTATGTTACCGTATAACTTTGGACCACGTTAACGGATTTCTATAATTATTTGTTTAAAGGAAAAGTGGTACCTCAGAGCTGGTCCCATACATTTGGTTTAGATACGAACATTGGATCTTGAAGAAATTAACGGTACGCTTAAATTTTTGTATGAGAACTGTAGTCGGTTTGGTTTTTTTTGCTTAAAAATGACTTGTTTATAAAAACCATTACAATAAGAATTAGCAAATAAATAAAATTGATTGTAATTTATACATAGGTATACATACATATGTACATATTATATATATACATATACACATGTGCACACATATGAATGTGTTTTTAGGTATGAATTTGTAAACAACGATGCAAGATTACGACAAGTGTTTTTTATCAATTCGCGATTACATGCAACAAAACTTTTATTCAAATAAAAAAAGGGCAGCTACGAGATAATGCAAATAAAAATAGATGTATTACAAGTCCAGCCGTAATAGAGTGCAAGAGCCAGTGGAGCTAACAGAACTATATAAAAATACATTTTTTAACAAATTTCTTTCGCAGAATTTCTTAAATATAAAAAATGGAAGTGCTTGTATTTGGTTCAGCGATCGTAGATTTTGTCGCGTAAAATACAACAACATTATTTTATTTACATGCACATTTTTAATAATATATTCTTTCAGCTACGCAGATCGTCTTCCAAAAGCCGGTGAGACATTGCATGGCCATAAATTTGTGACGGGCTACGGAGGCAAAGGTGCAAATCAATGTGTTGCAGCAGCGCGACTGGGAGCAAAATGTGGCATGATAGCAAAAGTGAGTGATCATTCTAAAGTTGATATCATTTATCTATCATTACCTAAAATTATATGTTTGCTATAGTTGGGAGATGATGCATGGGGCGCTAATTACTTAAAACAACTGCAGGCAGAGAATGTGAATGTCGACTATGTGGAGCAGTGCAAGGGAGAGGTTAATAAGTAGCATAATATTACTGAACAAAATTTTGTCATTCGATCATTGTAGACAACTGGTATAGCACAGATAAGCGTTGCCAATAGTGGAGAAAATCACATAGTCATCGTAGTTGGAGCCAACAATCTCCTAAGTGTACAAGATGTTAAAAAAGCAAAGAATCTGTTTGACACTGCCAAAGTAGTAAAAACAATTTTTGTCAAGTTTAAAATGTTTATTTTAACATATCCTTAGGTATTAATTTGCCAGTTTGAGACGCCTTTAAATGCTACTCTGGAAGCCTTACAGTCCTTCAAGGGTATTTCCATATTAAATGCAGCTCCTGCAATAGCGCAAACACCCCCGGACCTCATAAAAGGCGCTACCATCTTTTGTGTAAATGAGACTGAAGCAGCTTTAACTACGGGTTGTGAGCAAATATCCACTTTAGAGTAATTACATACTTATGTATCTTAAAAGGGTGCAGGCAGTATGCAAACATACTATACTATGCTTTCACCCACATATCTTTGTTGTAAATTCTTTATTTACTAAATATGTGTCTAAACGGTTCCAGGCACGCTAAAACTGCAATGAAGAAACTGCTTCAAATGGGTGCCAACAATGTGATTATCACATTGGGTGCACTTGGTGCAGTTTACGTTAGAGGCGAAGCGCCGCATACGTTTATACATGTACCAGCGGTCAGAGTGGAAAAGGTCGTGGATACCACGGGGGCTGGCGATGCTTTTATAGGAGCATTGGCTTTTAATATGGCTCGTTTTAATGATTTGCCTTGGCATCAACTAATAGGCGCTGCGAACAGAGTTGCTGCATACTCCGTGCAACACCCAGGAACGCAGGCGAGTTTTCCGAACCCAGAACAAGCGTACTACAACGCTGAATACACATGGCAGGAATTATGAACAGCTGAATCAACAAATTAATACGTTTACTTAGTTTTTCATTTACAAAAAATTTATTAAATAAAGTCTACTAATTCGGCAATTTTTCATAGTTCTGTCACTAGAAATAAATAGGGTCGCGTGACATGAATTTGAAGGAAATGCGGATTTATAAATACATAAACAGCCGATATCATTTCTTTCCCGATTTCTTGATACCTCCGCCAACCAATGGACCTTTTTGTGAAGCACGCTGCTTTGCTTGTTCTAGTGCCTTTTGCGCTTCTTTCTGTTTTTGCTTGAAGGCTACCTCGTCGTCATCCATTTCTTTCGACTCTTTCTTCGGTGCCTTCAGTGGTTTCTTCTTTCCACCCTCGCGCCCAGACATTTTCTTGAAGCTATATTAGAATTTATTACCAAATAACGCATTAGATTACCATGAAAAAGTATTATCGTAAACAATGCATAGAAATTTACCTCACTCGTGCCTACACGTTAAAAAACCAATACAGCCTTGACTTTTGACGTTTTACTGACAGATGAATCAATGATTGAATTGTGGTATTGAAACATAAGATATGTGAGTTAATTGTTGTTATCGATATTGGATATAAAACGATCACAAGTACTCTGGCATAACTTCTTAACCCATACCCGGACCAGCAATCGCTCATATATGGATAATCATCATGAACCAAAAAGACAAGATCACGCGGGCAGGAGAGTAGCCGGTTAGAATCGCATTAAGGAAAAAAGTTGAACGATTTTGACATTAGCCGTTTGTTTACATTTCTTCGTTGTTTACAATTTGGTGGTGGCTTTTTACTGCAATTTTCTTCATTTTCGCTTGTGACAACGTGTGTACACATAAGATAAAGAATAATTTAACACAACGGCATGATTTTTAGAAGAATTTGCATAATAAAAATGATTTTTCATGCGTTCAACAATTTCGCGGTTTTCTCCGTTCTCTTCGTTGTTTACTTCTTACAACAAAGATGGTGTCGAGATTTCGGCAGCTAGAAAATAACTTTTTTCGTTCTTTCCTTCCCGCGTGATCTTGTGTCTTTCGTTCATGGATAATCATGAACCAAATATACAAGATCACGCAAAAACGCACGTTGTATTTGTAACTGGTTTTCAGAAAAAAATTCGTGGAAGCGAGTTCGTCAGCTGAGCATTTGTTTACATCAACTGCACCACTATGTTACACTTTTCTTTAATTAAAGAAGGGTTAATTGAGCATGACAACAACTTTTAGAGAATTTTAATGAATAAATTTACCCAAATTGTGTGTTCAAAATGGCTGACAATAATTTTGGTTGATTTTAGTTTTCGGTGTTTTCTTTGCTTTGTTTACATTTCGTTCGTTTTCCAGCGAAGCATGATGGCGTAGAACCCGCTCAAAAATCGATCATTTTCATTCTCTTGTTCTTGCGTGATCTTGTGTCCTTCGTTTATGATAGATAAACGTGATATTCAGCCTCAAGTGTTGAATACGTCTAAAGGACGAGCTACGGGCCACAGCTTCCAATTTGTTATCTTTATTTTGTAAACGCTTTGTCGATGGCGACATGATTCTTATTTTTTGTATTGTTCATGTTTGTTTTAAAAGCACAGGAAAGACCTATTGTGTTTGGGCTCTCATGCTGACTACACCTAAGGCAACCGTTAAAGCAACGTGACGAGGCAACCTGTTTTTCTTGTTCAATACACACGGGGAAACCGTGGAGGAAAATTTGGTTCCACTGCATGTTGCTGTTGGTGTTGTTGTAGTGTCTACATCAAGCATGAACGAACGACAGTAAAAAAGGTCGATTTTTTGAGCCATCTTGTTCCACTGGAAAACAAACGAAAAGTAAACAAGGTCAAGAAAACAAAGAAAACCAAAGAAAACCAAAATTAACCAAAATTATTTTCAGCCATTTTAAACACACAATTTGGGAAAAATTATTAATTCAAATTGTTTAAAAGTTGTTGTAATGTTCAATTAACTCTTCTTTAGTTAAAGAAAAGTGTAAAATAATGGTGTTTGTGATGTAATCAAATGCTCAACTGACGAACCCGCTTTCACAAAGTTTTTTCTCAAACCCTGTTACAAATACAACGTCGCGTTCTTGCGTGATCTTGTATTTTTGGATCATGGTTCTTGCGTGATCTTGTGTCGTTCGTTCATGGGTAACTACAATGATATAGATGACTGCACCCGGTGTCACTAACATTTAGTAGCACAGAGTGTCTCAGGTTAATGAAAATGGAATTAATCGAACCAATTCCACCAGTTCCATTTATTGGCACAGCTACGAACATATTCCGAGGCGCATTCGTTTTCTTTCATTTCAAGTGTAGCCGCACGAGCTCGAGCACGCGACTTGTCAACGCCGAGTGGGAAAATCTGATTTCTTCAAAAGAATTTTTTACTGTGTCTCTTTTGTAAGAAGTATACAAAACTAAAAGGTATTGTACACTTTATATATTTTTCTAAGCTATAAATACAAACCAACTAAGTATTAAATAAAAGGTATATTATAAGTGCTAAAAGTGTTTTAAAATGCCCGTTTTCTCACCGGATGGAACGTTAAAAAGCATTTGCTGCTCACTAGTGTACCATTGATTTTTCTTTTGCTTCGCGTTACTAATTTCATTTTGCCAACAAGTTATGTAACGAATTTTTCAATTTGCAAAAATTAACGACTAAATGCAACGATAATTTTTTACAATCGTTTGAATTTAAAATACCCCAAAAAACAATAGAATTTTTGATTTAGAAAGGTTTTTGATGAGTTGTACTGAATGCCTAATTAAAGCCAGCGTGGTAGGAGAGGCGGCAGAACTGCGTGTGTAGCAAATTCTCCTGCCACCCCTCCAACCACTTGCCCTTATGTCGCCCATCGTTGATTGTGTGCGTCAGTCACAAGGTAATCTTTGGTGCTCGCAATTCCGTTTTCATAATTCCTAACCTAGAAATACTAAACAAAATAATCTTCAAGAATTTCAGATTGAGGGAGCCGATTGCTTTGGGCTGTGTCATGGGGACGGTATTGAGCGTGTATAAGTAAATAAATACACGATCGAAGATTGTTTGTATTTGTAATCTCTAGCAAGTGGCAGCCAACTTAGCAACTAGCAAAGCAATTGGGCCAGCGATGTAGGACGGCAAGCTAAGAGATTTCCTCTTCTCCGGTGAATTTTTCATACATCACATTCTCTTAAAAAAGAACCAAATGAAAAGTGATTGCTCATTCACGTTAGCAATACCAACAACAACAAGTTATCGTCTGACGTATGTACATGGCCAAGCAAACAAAATTTACTTGACTCGGCTAAAATACTACTCGTACTCTTGCTTTTAAGCATCAGGAGCGCCGTTACTAGCGTCATCAGTTGCCAAATCGGCCGAATTTACAAATACATACATACAGTGTGTGGTTAACTGAGGCTTAAGTATTTCCAGAGAAATTTTCAATCTGCTTATATACAAATCATTCACATAAATACTTGCAAACAAATCTACTTGAGGAAAATGAACAAGGGCCCAACTGTAAAATAAATGTTCGGCAATTGTGCTGCAGCTCAATGCGGTCGTTGCTCAGGTAGGGTTCTGAAAGTAATATAAGGACTGCTTTTACCTGGTTTTGTATTATACATACATATCTGTGGACATTTAAAAGTACTATTTAAGTCTGTCTTTTGCGAACAAACAAAATAGCATATGTACATATCGCACACCGTGTTCAAAAGAGCCACAACTCAAAATTTCGCATTTTTGAAATTATGCGCTAAAAATGTATACAGAGCTTTTATTTACCTTTCAGCAAAAGCTGGAGCAAATTTTTGTTATAATTTGTTAAAAAAACCTAAGGTAAAAAATAGGTACAAAAATATATTTTACCGTTAAAGAGACAAATATTGTAATTCAAAAGAAATATATGTATGTATATGAATTATTTTTTTATTTTTTTGCGTTGCCCAACTTTTCCGGTAAATTCTTGCAACTTCTTGTGAGTTAGGAAACGCAACTAATATGTGTATGTATGTTTTTTGCAATGCAGCTGTGCATAACTCGCCTTTATTTCCGATCAATTCAGCTATTTCTTGCCCATGAAACGAAAAAATCTAAACGCCAACGCCTTTAATTTGTTTTGAATTTTTATGTACATATGTAGATATGGTAATATGTGTGCTTTAATTGGATACTCCAAATAATGCCACTTGTTGATGTTGAGTGCGGTTTGTACATCGTTTTGAGTTTATCAAAGAAATTAAGAATTTGTGTTATAATTTTTTTACCGTTGAGTGATTCGTTTGCTCTTCTTCTTTTTACAGTTTTGGTTTTTTCAATTAATGTCGAATGATACCTGAAAGTGCATTCAGCCTTGATCTTTTACACACAGCCCTAAATTCAGACGTACATAGTACCTTTGTTTGTATATATGTATGTTTAAAAATTGCCGCAATTCGACCATCGACGCTGTGCTCATTGCAACGGAGATTAGCACGCATCAGAGCAATTAACAAAGGCGTTTATTTTTTTTTTTTCTATGTGTTTTTTAATACTAACGGCTTGGCATTGTGGCATGTTGCCAATTAAAATGCAAATTGTAAATATGTATCAAGTCTAGAAAAAATATTGCAAAAATGGGCTTCAGTGACGTTGTCTAGTGGAAAATTTCGATGGCTCATGAGCAAAAGAAAAAATTTTCTCTTTTTTTTATTCAATTTCATTTTCTTTTAATGTTATCTTTGTGAAAACGGGGCACAACAAACTATCAGCCTCATCATGAGTTTCATTTTCGCCGAACTGGTTCACTTTTCATTTTTGGTTTCCATGTATTTACTAGGGGTGAAATAAAAATTTTCGGGTGAATTGTTTTTCGGGCGAAACTCAGGATAAGGCAGAATATTTCTTTCAGTCTTGCCACTATTAGTCTTCCGACCAAATTTGGTAGCTTCTTTTCATTTGGTAGGTTGGTAGGCCAAGTAAGATTTTGGTCGGATAGATGAATTAAGTTTTTAAATTCTTAATTATAAAAATATATATTTCAAATATCATTTTGCATATAAATATTTGCCAATTGTACCTTTTAACCATTTGTCAATCCTGCCTTTAAAAATAAGAAGCGGAATTGGTGCAACATTTGTAGAAAGGAAAGTGCCATTAAATAAATGACTTGTATTCTTTCAGAATGCATTTTGTAGTTGAAATTTATTTGGTCGAATTTTGGAAGAAAATTAGTAGGGGAAAAAATTGTTAGTGGCTACGCTGATTGCTTTGCTAAAACCAGTTTTAAATGAGTATATTTTTGTGGTTTAAAATAAGTTCATTGGCTTTTGCGGGCATGAAAGTTTACTGAATTTGCGAGAGAATGCGAAACGCAAACTCAAATACATATGACTAACATTTATAACGAATCTCCATAAAGCTTGAAAATAATAAGTTTCTGATTGGTTTTACCTTGACAAGTAATTTTATAAATCACTT